GTAAAACGTGTTTTAGAAATATTAAAGCCTGTTTATACTCATCGTCGAAACCCACGGGTTTTCTCTCCGTTACACTGCATTTAACCCGACGACGGTTTATACTCTGTTGACATTATGTTGCCATTTTTAAGCATCACAAATCCAGTTAGAATATTTCCCTGTATAAAATGTCTTTGTACGAAACAATTTCTTTTCCCTTTGCCTATTCTGACTGAAGACTCACCAATATGTATTTTAACTCTTTAATTACTAAGTATTTCAAAAATATTTCATAAAAAATATTTTTGAAATACTTATAAATGCTACAATATAAAAATATAATGATATAAATAGTGCATATGTGTATATGAAATAAAAGATACCACAGAGTCTGGCGCACCTGTTTCATATTTTTGGATATTTTTATATTTTTTTAGTAAAAGACATTATTGGCAACCAAACAACAAAGCTTTATAATGAACGTAATGACTATCTTTTCAACTTCCCTTACTTATGCAGAAATATACCCATATCATATGTCTCTCATGGACTCTATAAGCAAGGGTTTTATGCTCTATACCTATATATGATTAAGATGTAGTAATCTTTTTTCTTCTTTCCTAAAATACATATATTCGCTTTATTAATATAGCATTGTAAACAGATATAAGAAATTCAAACAAAAAGATTTGTTAAATTTCAATAAACTATTTTTAAGTTTTATTGTAAAAAAAATCAAGAATATCACAGTCTCGTTTAAAGTCACCATTTCAATTTGAATCAACAAATACAGTCTATCATTAAGTAAAAAAGTTGACTGGCGTTTTACACACTTAAAATTATTGATAGGTCAATATTTTTCACACTGAACAGGTTTTCCTGTTATTTTCTGATCATGACAAGGAGCACACGGCTGATGTGACCGATCGGCAAAGGATGCTCACTATTCCATGGCACCTGATCCTACCTCAGATGTTGTACAGGCCCATGTTTGCTCTTTTCCTGATTTGTATTGTTTGAATTGACCTTTGAGCTGGAATACATATTTTCTCCATATATTTCTACTTATCAAAGGCATGATGTATTTATTTGTTGCCATTATCTTTTAATGACTCTTGTTTGCATTACTAAAGATAAGAGTACATGTATTTATAAGAACTACATGCTGTAGTTTGTGCAATTTCACGTTTTCATTTCACTGCTTCGGTAATTTGAAAGTAAATAGGGAAGCTGTTATATCAAAAGCTCGTGGCAGTAATTAAGATTTCCACTGTCAAGTTCAAGATACTAGTATGTTCAATATCACAATTAAAAGAAAGATAACCTTAGTTCAAATCAATCAAAATTCAATTTTTTGCAGACAGACAAACGGAATAACAGATCAGAAACTATTCGCACTTGATTCTTCGATTATGGTAACGTAATAATAAGGAAGGAAATAAACAAAAGGGAATATTATATCAATTTTACAAATGGAATTATTTTACCATATGCAAATCACTAACTAGACCACTCTGCTCCTTATATCAAATCATTTAAATATTAGAGCTCTAGTTCTGGATACCAGCCTCATTTGACAGCGGTATTACATGTATACGTCATATCTCCAGTGAATTCCTTTGGATGGAGCCTTTGATAGTTCAATTCGGTGACAGACACTAAATGGTAGATTGGCAATCTTTATTTCTTTTTAATCATAGCAAAGTACACATTATGATAACACAGAAGTTCTAAAGTAAGATCAAATACGTGTAGAATTGCTTTCCTGAAATGCTTAAAGCAATGAGGCTTTTGCACTTTTTTTTTTATTTTTCTCGTTACGTTGATGTGTTATATGTAATAAACCTCTCTTGAATTGTTTCTTATCACATTTTGACAATTTTGCCTCCATAAGAAGCCATACGACAGTTAATACTCACTCGGGTAGTACAAACTCGGAAGGGACTATTTTCTGGACCAATAATCAAATATTTTGCTAAATACTGTATAATCAGAATTCAAGCAACAAATGGAGTGAATGTTGATATGCAAATGTAGCTACAAGACAAATAAAAAATGATTGCGTCTTAATAAAGTAGGGTGTATTGACGAAAAGGAATATTATTGCTTTTATTTGTAGAGATACAGGTAAATGCATTCCTATTGGCCCCTTGGTAATGAAGTTTTAATGAAAAGACACAACTATTGTCTTCTTCGTTGAAATGCAAATAATACAGCAAGTAATCCTAATGAGACAATTCGGAAAATCAAATGAAGGTTTAGTGGATGCATTTAATATTGCAAATTACGTCCTTTAAGTAGATTAAACGGTTCTATTTTGGCCGATCGGTTCACATCTCCATTAACATAAGTATAGAGAGAGAAATCATTGATGGAAATCTAGTAAGCCCTGTTAAACCATTATAATTGTTGGTGATGAAAGAACTGTAAAATTGAGACTATATGCATTGCAAATTTGTATATCTATACCGCGTGTTTCCATACCCGGAGGTTCCGTATATAAGATCTATTGGTCGCTGTATGGTACCTGCTATTGTGTTACACTATTGTACAATGCGTTGTAGAAGATAGTCCCCTGTTGCCTTGGCTGGTACAGAAGAAGAGGAGCCGCAGTCTGGTTTCACAATTTTACTGGAGGTAAGGGGGGGGGCTTTCTGTTTGAATTAGACTGTGTAACAAGTAACTAAGTTATAACCTCCGTGCCATGAAAAGACGACTTAAAAAAAAGAAAATCACTTTTCAGATGACCCACGTATTAAACGTTGTAATGATAGAAAATCAACAGAGAATCTGAACTCTTAAGGATCTGCTTGTGAAAGAGAAGCAATAGATGCATCTCAAAGAAAAGATTAATGTCGTGAGAATCGTCGTGATTCTATTAAGATAAACTTAATTGTGGTGTTGACTATATGACTATATATGTATTACAATAGGACTAAATGAATTTAGAGTTGTATTTAAATATGAAACCCCAAAACGCAATTTAAGCATTGAATTCATATTTTGGGATCTCTTCGGTCGCGCGGTATGATAATTTGTGGGCACGGCCAGGTGTGTTATAGGACCGAAGACATCCCAAAATATGAATTCAATACTTATATTTACATTTTTTTTAATTTATTCGTCTTCATAATTGTTTATTTAGGTAATCTTTGATGTGAATTTAATGCCCTTCAAAACTGGTGTGCTTTATAGACGTAAGAGCCGTTTGTGACGTTTGTGACGTCGTAAAATTAAATAACGCAAACGAACATTGCGAGGAAAAAAAGTGACAAATTAATTTTGAATGCACATTTGTTGTATTTTTACGTTAATTCAACAGGGTTATTTTTTTTTTTTATTAAATTGTGTCAAACAATATACATTTTGGTGTTCATAAAGTATTGTAAATGCATATAGTTCCTACTGTGTATTCTAACGTGCGGTGACAAGGATTCGCGTGTGTTATAGAGATTTGAAAGTCATGGATTTCTAATGGATTTCATAAAGAAAATTACACTGAATGTAAATATAAACGTATGTAGCAAATTATTTCTAAATCTAAAAAAAAAAAAAAAACAGTTTGGCAAATCCAGCGTAATATCTTTTAATTTATTTATTGGCAAAAAATTACAGTTTACTCATAAGTTTCTTTGATAGAAGTTGCTTATTTTGTTCACTAGATTGAATACAATTGATGTATTTCATAAATTCATATACTCAGTACTGGGGCCAGTGAAGAAGAATTCAGGCATCCTGTTAATATCAATATTCAAAGATAATCCAAGAATGACAATCTTTAATTGTTTTCCGTCCAACGCAATATATCGATCAAAGGTAGAGCTGACCGACACCACATATCAATAAAATTAATTTTGATACTCTTAAAATTCAACATCTATATTTAAGAATAACCTTAAATAAATCAAATATTAATCAAATTTAAAGCAGATGGCTTTCCTTTATTCTCCATGCGACAAGATCTCATTAAAGAAAAAGAAAACCTCCTACAACATTTGAAAAAGCCATTTAAAGTTTAAATTTGTTTTTGGTACTATAGTATCTGATTAATTTTATTAGTTAAGGAATGAATTTAATAGCTACCCATTTTATACGGTATAAACTGGGTTGGGGCAGTTTACGCTTTATAAACCGCGAAGCGGTTTATAAAAAAGCGTAAACTGTTCCAACCCAGTTTATACCGTATAAAATGGGTAGCTATTAAATTCATTGCTTATAATTTAATTTTCATTCATTTGATGCAAGAAAAAAAGGTGATTGTTCTAATAAAATGACTTCAATTTGTACAAAATTTGAATGTAACGTCAAGCGGATTGATACGTTTTTGACGTAAGTCATTGTGACGTAGGCAACCCATTTTATACAATATGAAGTAAATTTTTTATCCAATCAAATACAGCGTTACAATCAGAATTAAATTATTACACCAGACAAAATTGCAAAACCGCCACAAAAAAAAAAACACTCGGTAACTTTTAGGTGATATGCTATATCATTTAACGGACACAGGGAAGACACTGATGTGACAACTTCAGTTACCATCACTGGGAATTAACAAAGTCACATCCGTGCAAAAACAGTGCACAGTCGGCATTAGCAAATTAAGAACTTACTTGGAAGGTCATTCGAGAGTTTTGCGTTAATATCACGACATCGGTAAGTTCGAATGCATTCGGGAGATGGGATATTGGATTTTAAAAGTCATTTTGATTAGGCAACGTAAAAGTACCACGTGAAGCGTTGAGTTTCAAATGTGATGATTAATTTAGCAATCGAATTATTAGGACTTAAAATAAGTAAAATTAGTTTATCCCATGAAGCCGCTGAAATCTATAATTGCAGTCATCCTGAATGAATGTTCCATAAGATCAGAATGTCTGGAAAAAGAATTTTCATTTCATTTCGAAGATATCTGAGAATTTTTTTATTTTTTCTAAAGTTATCTTTCATTACGACTATATTCCGTATCTACGAAAGGCCTAATTTTATTTTTATTACAAGGTATCCGAAACTTTGGCTTGATGGATTTACGATGCTTTCAAAATAGCAAATAGAGATACTTTTTTCAACTCCTGGACTACACCAACATTACTTTGATGGATAATGCTTTTGCTTTGAATTCAACCAAAAACAATTAAATGGAAAACAACACATATAGACCGAAGACAATTGTAAAGGATGGATATGATTTAGATGTTTATGGACTAGACACACAATGGTTCCTCTTTATCCACATTCCTGCCTTGTGTTGTATCTTTCTCAGTCTTTTTACTGCATCTGCCGTCATCATTGCGTCATTCCGGAGTCAGACGCGGTCGTTCTTTTCCTGGACGCGAAGTGAGCGTTTTGTAGTGTACTTTTCTTTGTGTGACGCATTTTTCAATCTGACACACAGCATGGACCATCTTCAAATGGTCATCACAAAAGGACATGTGTATCCCAGAGAGCTGTGCGAGTTTTATGCCTTCTTCCTATGCGGAATTATAGCTGTGCAGCTTCTTATGACCAACGTGGCAGCAATTAACGCTTTTGGACTCATTTATCTTCAGAAGCAGTTCAAACTTGGCAAATATGATTGGAAGCTTCTTCTTTACACATTCGGAGTACCTTTTGTGATGTCACTGTGTGCAGTCAGTTTAGGATACTATGGACCTTCGGGATCTTAGTATATATTTTATTTAGCACTTCAAATACGTATTCCTATTTTGTTCCTATTTGGTAACGTGTGATTGTTTTTACATTATAAAGTTTCTGCGTCAGTTTCAGCTAATTTATGTTATTTTTTTCAGTTGTGCATTTGATGCCGTAAAGGGGACACTTGCCAGCATATTTTTTGTAACTGTTCCGATAACTACTGTATTGGTTATAAACGTGGTGCTCTATACCCTCACATGGTGGAAAATCCACGTGGAATCCAAGCGGATCAAAGCCATGCTTGGAACAGAGGCCCAAACTGTACGGGCGTCTTACAATGCAGCCAAACTGATGAGCCTCTTTGTAACCGTCTTTTTTATCCAGTGGTGGGCCCTCGGTATAGTTAGTGTGTGGCAAAATTTTTCAAAGGTGCCACAAGAATTTTTTACTGTGATTGTCATATTTACTAACCTTGGCGGTGTTTATAACGGAGCTGTGTATATCATCATCCGAAGAAGAAGAAAGCGGAATAAGACCCCTAAAACGCCTAATGGTCCTGATCAGAAATCTAAGGACTCGGGAGTGGGAACTATCAATCCTAACTTTACAACTGAAGACACAAGAATATAATGCAGCAACATTAGAATTTAACCGTCTTAACAAGAATTATGTTAATTAAACAAAAATATATGTGTGTACTGTGTGTCCAACTATCTTGCTGTTTTTTATTAGAATCATTTTTGGGCACTGTAAATGGGATGAAAAATATTTATAAATTATTCCACAGTAAGTGTTTTTAAAGTAACCAAGATATGTTTGTGAAACATTGATGCCCTCGTATGGCAGCTTATTGTGAGGGTTGAATTCTCTCAGATGCTTGTCAAACTCCATAGGTCATGGTCAAAAGGTCAAAAGCGTTGGTACCTCTTGTTACATGGAATACACCTGTGAAATATGAAAGCCCTATTTCTGACTGTTCAAAAGTTATGACCAAAGTTAAAGTTTTTAAGAAGTGGGTCAAACTCTTAGGTCAAGGTCAAAAATAATTATACCAGCTGAAAGGCCTTGTCACAATGAATTTATACACATACGAAGGATGAAAGCTCTATCTCCAACTTTCAAAAGTTATGACCAAGGTTAAAGTGTGGTATTTCTTTTGTAAAAGTAGGTCAAACTCCAAGGTCAAGAGGTCAAATTTGATGGTACCCATGGAAACGTCTTGTCACAAGGAATACATCTGTGAAATATGAAACCCATAGCCCCACCCACTCTATAGATATGGTTTAGGTTAAAGTTGACAACAGACAGAGAGACAAACAGAGAGGACAAAAACAATAAACCTCCCGGGATCTTTCAATCCGGGGGCATAGAAAAAATCAACAACAAGGGCACCACAAAGCGGAGCATCCCCTCGCACAGAGCATTAAAACGTAAGTTAATGAACCTGCGTTTTTATAGATTTCAGTTCCCTTTGATATTCGATTCGTAAAAAATTGATATCAAATTGTGGAAAGTTCATAATACAAAGGAAAATCCTTCTAATAAAAAACTGTTTGATAGATATTCAGTAATTTAAAAGCTCGCCCCCTTTTTTTTTGTTTTTGAATTTGATCATTTACATTCGAAGGGGTATGCCTTCAACTTATAGAAGCTTGATTGAGATCGATAATACATAATTTCTTTTTTTTTTTTTTCAATCGATTAAACATGTTTTAAGCCTTTTATTAAAACCAATGTCTGAAATCCTATTTTCAATGCAAAGGAATTCTCTATCGGAAAATTGAAATAATTTCTTTTCAATATTGATGCCAATGTCTCACATTTTTTTATCTTAAATTTTTAAATCCAAAAATTAGTATCCCTTTTTCCGCATTTTATTTTTTTTTTTATACTACCACTATAGCCGTCCACTATCTAGAGAAGAAAGGTAGTATTGCTGATTTTACAATGGTCCTAAACAAAAGCAGAAATCTTTTCATGCGCCAGAATTTATAGATCCGGGGCGTATATTTTTTTTGTCCTGTCTGTCTGTTTATCTGTTTGTCTGTCTGTTGTCAACTTTAGCCTTCGACATAACTTTTGAACCGTGAGAGATAAAGACTTGATGTTTGGTATGCATGCACCAATAATTAAGCTCTTTCAAATGATACCAAGATCAATGACCTTGTAACCTTAACTGTGACCTATACGCTAAAAATAGCTTTTTCGAATTTTCGCTTTTGAACCATGGGAGATAGGGACTTCATATTTGACTTTGTGACCTTGACTGTGACCTACATGTATATGCTAAAAATAAATTTTTCGAACGTTTGCCATTAATTTTGAACCATAGGAGATAGAGATTTCATGTTTGATCTTGTAACCTTGACTGTGACCTATACACTAAAAAGGGCTTTTTCGAACTTTCGCCATAACTTTTGAACCATAGGAGATAGAGACTTCATATTTGACTTAGTGACCTTGATGATCCATCTTTATGATGTACGGGTAAGTAATATAATGATAATATAAGTTTATAATCCTCGAGCACTCATAGGAACTTATTGAAGGTTATTTTTGACAAACCAGCATCAAAATTTATTACTGTTCTACACTAAATATAGTCACTCTACAGATATTATATCAAATATTTTGAGATCATAAACAACTGCTTAGACCCTTTTCTTATGACATATTTTGCCTAGGAGTTATTCCCCTTAGCCGCCACATTGTAGGGCACCATTCTTCATTCAACCAAGTTCAATGTGTTATACTGGTTACTGAGGTAAAGACAACACTATTTTTCTTTTTTTTTTTCATCCCTTTCTGTTCATATACACTAGTGTAATATCCGTTTGTAAGCCTCTGATAATTTTAAAAATGACATATCCCACTGTATACTAAAGTTTCATGATTATAAAATTGTAAATATTTCCCCCATATATTTCTTGGTTGCTCAAAGAGGTAATATCACTACTTTGCCCTACAAGATGGCGGCTAAGGGGAATAACTCCTAGGCCAAATATGTCATATGAAAAGGGTCAATTAAAACTTAATTTTTTAGACTTTAATTTCCAATGCGAACAAACAAAACTACAGCTGCAGATCTGTAGCGTTATGATTTTATATATTAGTCTTTGACCATAACGCTACAGATCCCGTAATGCAAAAAAGGTGCAATTTACGGCGCAATATTTTTTGCGCACTTTTGGGGAGAATTTCTCCACTTTCCATCATCGGTCAATTAACTACCTTTCACTCCCTAATTCTAGACACATTATTTAACTAATCTGTATATTTTATCCGTCTCCCAGCCCTTTATAGTTGTCTCTACAAGTGATAAACTCGCTTGATTAAAATTATTTGTTAGTTTGCTGAAATTCACTTCAAGCGAGTTTATTGCCATAGGCGCTTGGTTTCAGGATGGTGTATTTTTTGTATTATGTGTTTTTCTAGGTTTGTCTGAATACCCTCATTAAAATAAAAATAAAAATTTGCTGAAATTAGCACGTTTTAAAAATGTCATATTTACTGTATATAAAAAAAGTAAAGGAGCGTCACTCTACATCTTGAAAATCGGGGGTACCTCGGTTCACACTTAATTTTCATCTATATCTACATTTTTCCTACCAGTGTCGGGCGAGATCTAGCTTCGAAAATGATTGAATGACTACTTCCTATCATCTGTTGACCTACAGATGTAGTTTTAAACATGCAGTGAACCGAAACGTCCTCGATTCTTGCACCTATTTATCGAAAGCAACGGAAGTGCCGACTTTTAACGATGAAAAATCTAGAGGCGTCCCGGAATTACACGGAAAATCTAGAGAGAACAAGTTTGGCGCGGTTTCTGACCTCTCTAGATTTTCCATGTAATTCCGGAACACCTCTACTTTTTTCATCGTAAAAATTGGCACTTCTGTTGCTTTCGATTTCTGTACTAGGTATCGAGGACGTTTTGGGGTTTACTGCTTGTTTTATACGGCAAGTTCAAATCGGCAGACGCTTGAAAGGCGTTATTCAATCATTTTTGAAGCTAGATCTCACATAATACACAAAATACACCATCCTGAAACAAAGCGCCTATGTTTATTGCCTGTAGAGACAACTATAAATGGTTGGGAGGTGGATAAAATATACATATTGGCTACAGAATGTGTCTAGAATTAGGGAATGAAAGGTAGTTGATTAACCAATGCTAGAAAGTGGAGAAATTTCCCCCCAAAAAGCGCAAAAATATTGCGCCGTAATTTGCACCTTTTTTGCATAACGAGATCTGTAGCGTTGTGGTTGAAGACAAATAAATAAAACCATAACGCTACAGATCTGCAGCTAATAAAACTAATGCATGGATAACGACGAGAGAAAAAATCGTTGTGTCATTCGCATATTTGATTTTTAATGTATTTTAAAAAGAATTAACTTATTTACTCTTAAATTAATAAGTTACTTTAAACACTGTAATTTTTATCCTTAAACTCTATACTTTTTGCTTCTATATCATGCTCGTCTGCCATGGGGACCAATTTCTTCAACACCTTTTATTCTTTAAAAAAAAATCACAAATTAATGAATATCTGATGAGAAACACAAATTAAAACTTAATAACAACCATTAAGACAAACTATAAAGCGAATTTTTAAAACTTTTATTCATGACTTTTATGTTTGTTTCACAATAGAAGTATGTTTTAGATGAGTGTTATGGTTGTTAGAAAAATAAGTCGAAGTTACCTCGAGAATTATTCAAAATACATGATGTAGAAGAAAATCATAGTATATAAAAATGAAACAGCTGTAGAGGCATGTATTATAATTTTTAGCGACTGAGATTTTCATCGCAAGAAACCAAATATTACAATTTATTTTGTTTAAGCAGCTGCATAAGGAACAAATACAACAAATACATATATATGTACTACAATATTCAAATATCAAGGGTTTATTTTAGTCTTATATCTTTTTAAAACGTTTTAAGTGCTTCAATTATCAAAATTTTGTTTGATTTAGATTAGCAAAATCCTTCAACCTCGTGTCGACAAGTGTTTAATCAGTAGTACGTGAATTCTATATTGATTTTTCAGTCAAATTAATATTAACATTCCTAAATTGACCCAAACATCACGCAAACGCAGATTCAAACACTTGAATTTTCAACTTTATCGCTGACAGAATTGATATTCTGAAATTTCTTGTCCACATTCGCTGCTCTCTTGGACTTGGCCTTGGCTCTCCGTCGTCTGATGAGGATATAGACGATACCGTTAAGGATACCGCCAATGTTAGAAAACGTCGTCACGAACTGAAACAGAGTCTGGGGAACAGGGGCCAGCATTTGCCAGATTCCGTACAGCGCCATGGCCCACCACTGGGCGAAGAAGGCCGTGACAAATAGCGACATGGTCTTCGCCGCCTGGAGAGAAGCCCGGATGGTGGCGGCTTCCTGACCCAGGGTGTGCTGGAGACGCTTAGACTCGCTTCTTATCCGCTTCCATGTCAGGCCGTAGACAATGATATTCATGAGAAGGACGGTTAAAAGTGGTACAGTGGTGAAGAACAGGTTGGCAACTTCTCCCTTAACCCCGTCAAAATAGCAGCTAAACAAAAAATACAGTATTATTCTATTATCCGGAACTTAATTATTATATAAATAATCTTTTATTAAATTTTCCTGGTAACGAAACATTTGGAGATAACCAATAGCATCCAAGCAAAAAAGTCCATAAAACAATACAAAATAGGAGCAGAGCAAACAATACTTTGGCTTTTTTGATTATTTAATTTTGCTAAATCTTGAAATGAGCAATTTTTTGCGATTGTCTGACTGTCTATGTTTCTGCAAATCTTCATTGATTGTTATATAAATCAGATTAAAAAATCGATCGATTATAGAAACAATATTTTCAAAAAAGTGTTGGCCATTGATATTTAGTATGAATGAAATAATCCAAGTCATTGGAATAAAGCGCTTCTCATTTATGATATCGACTACGCGTCAGAACTTCCTTGCGACATTCCAGTGGCTCTCCGGACCCCTTTTCAGACTAATGTAACAGATTTCTCTATTGAACATATTCTCTTTTATTTATTATGCAAATAAAAAATCGTCAAAACGCCGGGAAGACTACTAGTATAGCAAAGAAAAGGCATTGAATACCTTAATTAAATGAAAAAAAAATCAAAGAACATAAACCATAAAATACAGATCTGTACATTTATATGTCACGTTAACTTACAAAGTACCATTAGGTCCAAGCATATCGAAGTAAGCAGCCAAAGTTCCTCCGACGCATGGAAGGCCAAAGGTGTACAGAAGAAGACGCCAATCATAGACGCCAAAATTCAAGTCTTTCGTGAAATATATCAAAATGAAAACGTTCAGCGCAACAACGTTCACCATAAGATTTTGAGCAGTGATGAACTCGGCCAACATAAAGCCGTAAAACTCGCACAGTTCCTTGGGGTACACGTGGTTTCTGGTCAGAACAATGTGAGTATGGTCCAAACTATGCGCAATATTGAAAAGTCCATCACACAGTGCCAAATAGACAACAAACCGTTCACTCTTTGTCCACGAGAAAAATGTCTTGATGTTCTGTAGTCTAAAGGATGCAATTATGATGGCTACAGCAGAAATAAAGCTAAGGACAATACAAGTGATTGCAGGAATGTGTATGGAGTAAAACTGTCCATTCTCAAGACCGTACACAGGTAAATCGTAACCACTCCGGGCAGGATGGAATGGAGAACTTTTTGCAGACGATACCTCGGGTTCAGTTATATTTTCGTAGACGCCAGTAGAGGTGATATTTTCCATGTCAAATGCTGAAAAAAATTGCTTATCAAGTTCATGTGAGGACAGCGAGAAAGAATTTTGACATTTTTGGACATTACAAAGTAAACACAGTGATGGATTTTTGCTCCAGCGCCGATGATTATGATGCATTTAAAACGGTTTGAAACCAGTGAGTGCAGGCGTAATTAGGTGTTGAAGTGTATAAAACTCCTTGTCGGGCCTTCTTTGTGCCTACAAATATTGATATCGTGTCCCGCTGTAACTCCGGGTGTGAAATTGCTTCTCGGAATGGAGACCTCGGTTTTATAGGAATATTCTTTAGCATCTTAGCATTATTTGGCTTTGACCGAAGTTTCGAAGTCAATGATCTTCCGGTTTTATTCCATATTTATTGTATCTATTAAACCCCTTCGTGTGTTTCTCGTATTCTTTATTTCCTGAGCTGTAGTTGGAAGTACCCCATCATTAGGAAAAAGTCTAAATCTTGTCAACCAAATGTAATGGGCGACATTCAAGGCGATTAATTGGTTGTAACACGACCAAAATCAAAATTCAATTCATTCTTATAGTTTTACCCCTAAAACATAAAACAGCAGTTATCTTCGATAAATTACCGTTTGAAATCTATTTACCCAGCAACAAAAATATTCCGGTAGACAATCCCCATTAATACACTGAATCCTACTTTTCTGAATGTGAACCTCAGAGGAGAAATCATTAAGAAACGGCATCAGTTTTGTGAATAATCTTAAAGATTTGGAGATACACGAACAGTAAGCATGTTCAATAGTAACACGAAAATTTCGACCTGTACTTTGAAACAACAGCAAATGAGAGCAAAGCAAACACAGATTTCAAAAACAGCAGAGGTGGAATCAGGTGCCACTTATGTGTAAGCATCTCCTATCTACCAATCCCACCGCCGTGTGCTCCTTGTCATGATCGGCAAACGGAAAAATCCGTAAACATTAATTCAGTGTGTTAATTCAGAAGTAATGGCAAAACGATTTTGATTGTTTACTTATCGACCATATAGTTAAATGTTGACGAAAAGGAGACAGTTGGTATCCTTGTTTCATCAACTTGTTAGTCATAAGCTTGCATAGTTTTAGAAACTGTACGTAAAGCAAGATTTTGCATATTGAATCAAATAGGAGACAAACTCCATATGCTGGTGATATGGGTATATTGTTCAATAAATAAGGGAAGTTTAAAAAGGGGAGGTTGAATTCAGCACCTTCATCCTAAAAAAAATTGTTGAAAGGTTACCATTAACGTGTTATTCAAGTTTTTTTATTTGTTTACTATAGTATTTCTAATGACCCTTCGAGAATTTTTAATAGGATGCCACTTTAACTTTCGATCTGTACTCGGCACTTACGACTCTTGTGTAATGATGATTTATTTTTTTCGTGTCAGCACGAAAGACCGGTCTCATTGTCCACTTGTGGAATTCGAACCCACGGTTTAGGTATCGACTTCCTATTCCGCGACCCTTGAAAAAACTACTGCGCTTTGCTGACCCTTTTTACAGTTGACTCAATACGCAAGAGCATGTTCTACATATGAACTATTTCTAAAACGAAGCAAATTATTGACAAACAAGTTGATAAAACAAGAACATCAGCAATCTTATTTAAAGTCATCATTTCGTAATTTCTATGGTCGATACAATGACCTTGTCAGCAAATATAATTTCTCATTGAGTCAAATGCTGACTGACGTTTTTCAAACTAATTGATAGTCCCTTATTTATACAATGAATTGACGACGGATTTTTCTGTTATTTCTAGGGATGTCAAAATATTTATTTTCCTTAGTCGAACATTCGATTGCATTATTCGAACGATAGTCGACTATTCGGAACATTTTTTTCGTAATAAAAACTTGATTTCCGTTTTACTTTCGTTTGCATAGACTATGCAAGAGTTATCCTTCTTTGGTGTATGCATTACGTATGCTTTTGACAGATCTATATTCACAAGCACTTGATTTTTAGCTATTATGTTTAATTGAAATTATATTTATTTAGGTTTATTATGCATCAAAAACTACCAGCAAGTATTTTTTAAAACTCATTTAAATAAAATATGATAAACACAGCATCTACACGTCAGGGGCCCGTGTGACATTGTTAATACCGATTACCGTATTAACTTTAAAACGGTTAAATGCCCTAGCTTACAACACTACAAAGTATGCGTGTTTTTATAAAAATAATTATCAAATTATCAAAATGTGTCTTGGCTACCGTACGTGAACCTTTGAACATTACTAAAATAACAATACTATGGATACATGGAATTTAATGTCTAATTAACTGTGTTTTCATTATAATTTTAGAAACAAAACCCAGCATAGTGATTCATAATTTATCAGAAAAGCAATTGTTATTGACAATTATCAGATTATAACTTTTTCATAAATTTGTAATCAAGAGTTATCGCTCCTTTTTTTATCGTATTTTATTTAGTCGATAGTCGGTCGCATTATTCGATAGTCGGTCCTTTCGACTGACAGTCGAATAGTCGACTATTCGTTGACATCCCTGGTTATTTCCCGATCATAACAAGGAGCACACGGCGGGTGTGACCGGTCGGCAGGGGATGTTTGAACTCCTTCATGGCACCTGATCCCACCTCTGATGTTTTGGAGATCCGTGTTTGCTCTGCTCCTGTTTTGTATTGTTTTATGGACTTTTGCTCTTGAATACTAGTACTGTTCGTTATCTTCATATGTTTCGTAGTAAAATATCCAAATATGAAACAGATGTTTCAGACTCTGCGATATGTTTAATTTTGGAATAAACTCTGTTTGTAAAATATCGAGCTGAAATTTAAGCCACGGCATGTGTTTAGTTTTAAAGTAATAATCTATATCTGATTTTCACCACTTCTCGAATATTTTGTTAAACATTACCTTAACGGTTCTCTTTCACTGCGATTAATTATACAGCTCTTTTAAAATACAATTGAAGTAAGGAGCCTTACAAGCATGTAAAATGTAGGACATTAATTTCTTTCTTCAATGGAATTGAACTGCATATGAGAACTACTATGTGATCAATATGAAATATTTACAAGAAATCAAATGATGCCCACGTAGGAGAGAAAATCAGTACATGTATTCCTGTGCTGTACCAAATTATCAACACTACAAATACAGGACCTGCACATTGTCGCAAACGGTTAACTTACTTCAGGGGAACATGTGCATCTTTTAAATGTGTTAGGCCCAGTCATTGAAGATTCAGGGGGTATAATTTCTTGTTCCGTCCGTCTGTTTGTTCGTCTGCAAAAACTCTAACCTTGGCTTTGACATTTGATTGGTTGGAGGCATGGCTTTCATATTTTATATGTGTATTTCATGTGACAAGGCCTTTCGTTGGTTACCAAATATTTGACCTCTTGAGTCTTGACATTGGAGTTTGACCCTATTTTGCCAAAAATTTCTAGATTTTTATGCGCCCAGATCGATAGATCGGCGTCTATTTTTTTTTGTCCTGTCTGTTTATCTGTTTGTCTGTCTGTCTGTTGTCAACTTTAACCTTCGCCGTAACTTTTGAACCATGAGAGATAGAGACTTCATATTTCGTATGCATTCTCCACTAATTGAGTTTTTTTTCAAATGACACTAGGTCAATGACCTTGTGACGTTGACTGTGACCTATATGCTAAAAATAGTTTTTCTTTCGAACTTTGTTGCCACTGGGCGCATAGTGTTTCACAAACACATCTTGTTTGAAATAATTTGCTGTCCATACGTCAAATATACATGTATATTCAGTGTGGCAAGCTTAAGTCTTTTCCATGGATATAAATATTTTCAAATTTTGACATTGACCTTTGAGTAAAACAGGAGATATCACTGCTGACTTCAAATATATTAAGAATTCATAAAATAGTTAGATTATTCTTAGTAGGTATCATTGCTCTTACATTATGAACAAAGAATTCCTGAACAGGACTGCTGAACATCATTGTTAATATTCAAATGTTGGAGCGAGACGAATTTTCAAGACCAAACAACTTCTAGGCCTAGGTCATTGCGCGTCGCCTGACAACATAACAATACATCGGCCCGTTTCATTCGGAATTTATTCGTCAAAAGATGCCCATGGGCCACATCACTCACCTGACTAACTTTAGCCATATGATGTTCCTTACCAGATTCACCCCCTTGTAATACCTATTGTGACCCCCACCCTTTCCCTGGGGTCATGATTTGGACAATTTATAATCTACACTACCCAAGGATGCATAAATATAAGTTTCAGCTTTTCATGCCCAAGTGGTTCTTGAGAAGAAGATTTTTGAAGGTTTTTCCTATATATTTCAATATAAAACTTGCACGATTCCCTATTTTGGCCTTGTCCTTCCCCTGGGGTCATGATTTGAACAATTTAGAATTTACACTACCCTAGGATGCTTCCACACAAGTTTCAGCTTTCCTGGCCCGGTGGTTCTTGAAAAGGTTTTTCCTAAATATTTCAATGTACGTAAAACTTGAATTCCTATTGTGGCCCCACCTTACCCCAGGGGGTCATGATTTGAAACATTTAGAATGTACACTACCCCAGGATACTTCCATATAAGTTTCAGCTTTTCTGGCCAGATGGTTCTCAAGAAGATTTTTTAATGACCCCATCCTATATTTGTCTTTTCTTGATTATCTCCCCTTGGAAGGGGACCTGGCCCTCCATATTAATAATTCAAACTCCACTTTAGCCAAATATGCATTGTATCAAATTTGGTCATAATTGGCCCAGTAGCCTAAGAAGATGTTGTAAATGTGAAAAGTTTACAGAAGGACAGACAGAAGGATGGACAATGGGTGATCTGAAAAACTCACTGGAGCCTTTAGCTCAGGTGAGCTAAAAACAAGATGTTTATCAACTTTTCTTATTTTTTTTTTGAAATATTCCACTATCATCCATTCTTTTATGGTATTTATGTCTTCCAGTTTTCATGGTACCCAAGATCATCCTGCGAGTACAAGTAAGATCAATTTTTAAACTGAGACATGCTGCTCACAATTAAGTTGAAGTTGCATGGATTTCAACCTCATTTAAAGTCAGTACATTGCATTTTATAAATTCAATGGTTGCTATAATGATCTCATTAGCAAATCAACTTATTGTATTTTGGCTGACTTGTTTCATACCAATTGTTAGGCCTTTGTTTTATACCCATTTTGACTATACAATCTGTTGTCTACCTGATCAATACATAATGCTCACAGCGAGTGTGACCGGTCGACAGGGGAAGCTTTACTCCTTTCAGGCACCTGATTCCACCTCTAGAATGTCAGTCTCTGTTTGTTCTCTGTTCACAGGATTGTATTTTTTGTATTCTTTGTGAATTTAATCTCTGTTCGTTATCTTCACTTCGTTTCATTTCATAGCAATCAGTCAACTGAGTGACTCGAGTGCCAGCAAAAAATTGTTTTACTGTCTTAAAGATTTGCTTATGAGGGAATTGGGTCCTTACAAGCTACAGACTTGTTTATTCAGTGTTTTTTAGGCCATTCTAACAAAAGAATTAAGGAATGAATGATCAGCGCAAAATATTTCATCTTCAAACTCCATCAACTCATTAATTTTGCATTTTCTCACCCTTTCTCTTTTTTCATCAAAAAGTTTCATTTATCTAAAATATATATATAACTATATATATCCTGATCAAATTAATGGCAAGCAAGACAACTTACAAGCAATTTTTCCCAACTTTATCAATTCAAATAGCACTGAATAAAATATTACAGTATACTGAAATAAAGTTGTGCAATAGAAAAATTGAAAAAGTAAATGCAAGTACATCCACAAGTCATTAAATAAGTATAAAAGTAAGGGATTTCTATACAACCATTTTTCTTATTTTAAAATTGATTCATGTAGCTTCACTGAAAAATATGATTAATACTCTTAACTCATTATACTAAATGAATTGCAGCATTAATCAGGCATCCAACAAATTGAATTACTAAAAGAAATTGAAAGAGTCAATTAATAAAAAAAACTTCTTAATCAATAATTTTTCAAGTTAAATTGGTAAGATTCTTCATCACTGGTATAATTCTTCAATCGTTCATCAACATTTAATTCAAAACAGCCAATCTGAATTGAAAAAGTCACAGCATAATCGTGTTCAATAATTGTCACATAAATCAACAGCTCCATAAGATTATCAGATTAACAAACCCATACAAAGGTTAACAGCCTGAAAATGTTTTTCCTTTTACATGAATAATTGTCAGATTGATGAGTCTATTCACACAATCCACATCACAATAAAATGGTCTCAGTAATGCTAGGGAAATTTGTAATTTATGTAACACATATGTTTGAAAGGTAAAGAATATCCAAAATGTGATTATCACATCCCCACCCCCAAAAATACTACACAAATTTTGGCAGGAAAGGTTATCACAAATAATAATGTATAGGTAGCCCTATAAACATGATTCAGAATGGAAAGTGGACAGCATTTAGAATCATAGGATGCTCTTTTTCATATTAGTTTCATACTTAATGCTAACATTTTTATGTTATAACTGTATGCATTTAGAATATGTTTCTATTTGACTTTTTCATTACAAATCAACTTCAACAAAAATTCCTTTGAAATGACTCAGGTAATATCTATTGGCTGTGTTACAAGCATCTAAAATGAACCAAAAGGAGATCCTTTGGCCACTCTGCTCACCGGAAACAATATCTAACTAGTGGAAAAAATACAACATAAAAATGCTATGTATTGATTAATTAATTGGTTAATTAAACAAAGCCTCCCTTGTTCATTTTAGATTTTCAGTATTACAGTGGCTCTAATTTTGGACCAGTCCTTACTCTACGGCCAAATTTTGAACCAAAGTCAACGCTGCATGAATATATTTGAATATTAATCTTGAAAAATGTAACTCCGTTTTTTTTTTGACAAAAAGTTTTTATAAGAATTTTCCAATCCATTCCTTATCATGGAAGTCAAGTTTTAATTCAAATAAAGTATAGGAATCATTATATTTTCAAGTGAATCCCCTCTATCAATCCATTCACAGTAGAAAATTTGGTTTGAACTGGTCTAGCAATACTAGAGGAGGAATCAAACAATGCAAGCAGGCAGCTAGATGGAAAGACATTTGTGAGAAAAAATCAAAAGCTCACGTAACCTGTGCATTAGAGCTTAAAATAAGAAGGGAGTTTATTGAGTGCTAATTTGATTATACTTGCATATCCATACAAACAGTAATGTAAGCTTAATGTTTAATTTCCCTTTGACACGATGATTTGGTACCCAATGTCTGTTTCCACAAGCATCCCTTCTGGTACCTCAAGGATCAGTTCCTCCTGGTCACTGCAGGCTACAGACAGCACCTCAGACCCAATGTTAATAGTGTGGACCTGCATAGACTGAGGTTCCACTGAGTATTGTACACTGGAGGTGCCTGCTATTGTCTCCTCTGCCACCACCTCTAGCTCTGCACTTTCATTCTCCACTATGACACTGGAACCTGCTCCAGTTGCTTGTAGAGGATGCTGAGTTGGCTCACAAAACATTGCATGTCTTAGCAAGTTCTGTCCATTTTCAAACTCTCTGTCACATTTGTCACATCTGAAGCCATTCAGTGATTCATTGAAATGCTTTAGTCTTTCATGACGCTGTAGGCTCATTTTATGTTTGAATCTTCCTGAACAGAAAGAGCATTTGAAGGGTCTAATGGGATCTTTGTAATCTTTATGTTCTCTCATGTGGAGAACTCTCTGGTGGAAAGTGGAAAAGGTTTTTCCACAGACTACACATCTATAGGGCTTGTGCTCAGGATGGCAGTTGCGATAGTGAAGTTTCAAGGAACCAATGTAGGAATACTTCTTTCCACAGTATTGACAACTGTGAAGTCTATCACCTTTGTGAATGGTCTTGTGCTTCTGATACATCTCATGGTTGCTGAAAGATCTGTTGCAGATCTGACAGAACTTTTCGGACTTTTGAGCTGAGGTCACTATCCTTTTCTCCCTGTGGGCTTTTAAGTGGCTATTCAGTGATGTTTGACTGGGAAGATTCCTTCCACAGATGTGACAAATCCAATACTTGATGTGAACCCTCCTGTGGATAGCAAGTTCTATTTTATTTGCAAACTGTTTGCTACACAAGGTGCACTTGATTTGGTTTTTGTGCACTGACTCATGTTTTCTGAATGAGTACATGCAATTGAAGGTTCTGCCACATTTCTCACAAATAAAAATCTTATGCTCTCCTTTAAGGTGTTCTTTAAGATTTTTTCTCAGATAAAAGTCTTTCTCACACACACGACATTTCCAAGGCCCATATTTTCTATCATAGTGAACGATCAGATGTCCAATATAGGATTCTTCTGGTACAGATAAAGTACAAATGATGCAGTTCATAGGCTTCTTTGTGAATTTTTCGGAGTGTATTTTCAAATGAGCTGCCATTTTTGAATAACTATCAAACTTCTTGCTACAGTGCTTGCAAGTAAACTGGATCCCATGCGTCTTGACGTGTTTAGCAAGTTGAACATTGTCACTAAACTTCTCTTCACAGATGACACAGATGTGATTTTTCTCATGAAGACTTGAACACTTTACCCCATGAACCTTTTGAAGATGATCCATGATTCCTTTTCTTGATTTGAAGTAAGACACACACTGCATGCATTCTGTGAAGCGGTTATTGTGGCCTGTGATGAAATGGACCTCCTCACAATGCTTAAACAATCTCTTCCTGTCTGGGCACTGATGTCCACAAACAAAACACAGCTTTCTGGAGTCCCCCTCATCAAGGCTTACTTCAAATTCATCATCCACTTCATCTTCTTCTGCCATATTTTCTTGACTTGACATTGAATGGTAAAGAGAACGAATGCCTTGGTCATTCCGGCCATCCACTGAAATTTCCACACCATTTTCTGGAGCAATAAGGATTTCTCTTGATCTCATGAAATTCAACACATTAGAACCCTGAATTCCATACATCTTCTGAATATGTTTCACTAAAACTCCAACAGATTTAAAACTTTTTCTGCAATTTAGACATTCCCAAGCATTTTGTCTTGGTACACAACAGGATAGCAAGTGTCTATGGAGAGCATGGTGATCAATAAATTCTCTGGGGCAGTTTGGACATGGAATGTGGTTAACTTCACTTAAAGCTACATTCTTTTGTGATTTAGCAGGTATTGAGAATATGTAATAAAACTCATTGTATGCAAATTTCTGAAAATTCTCTGGGTTGCTCATATTCATTAAAAGGATTGCTAGAGAATCTTCAACATTCTCATATTCCATATGAACTTCTTTTCCATCATCTTTTTCAATCTTGACTTTTTTGTCATCTTCCGAATCTGATCCATCTTCTTTATTGTTCTCCTCTGAAAATTTCACATCATTCAAGATGTCTTCTGTTGTAACACTGAAGATTTTGATGAGGCCACTCAATTTTTCAAACTTAACTATACAGGTTTTCATCTTGTCTTCCTTTGTGAACAAGAACTCAGATATTTCATCTTCAGGCACTACTGAGTGTTCTTTAGCAATGTGTTTAAAACCATCAATTCTGCTCCTAAATGTTACAAAGCAGAGCATACAGACAAAGTTCATTTTATCTTCATTTCCTAGTTTCAACACTTCAACATTTTGGGATCTGCAAATCTTTTTGTGGATATTTTCCTTCTTTTCCTTGTGGTATTTCACAATATGAAGCTGACTGGACTGAAAATGGATGGCAGACTTCATACACTGTGTACAGAAGAAAACTCCGCTCTTGCCTTCCCCTATTTTTCGACGTTTGGGGGTTCTTTCACCAAGACCTTCAGCATCCTGATTAAAAACCACATCTTTGTTTTCAATAATATAATTAACAGCTTCTATATAGGATATCTTATGCTTCAAATACAGATGTCTCTGAGCTTCCTTCATTTTGTAGTATTTAAGGTTACAAATCATGCAACTAAACCGCTTGTTTTCCACGTCATTCTTTGGTCGGTATGAAGTGGATTTGTTACAGGTGCTATCATAACTGGTTCCAATAATCTTTGCCCAGTTATCCTCTGTAAAAGAGCCTTCTTCACATAATATCTTAATGTTGATGCCATTCACATCAATTGAACCATCTTCTCCAGCTTCTTTGCTTTCTTCCATTAAGTAGGAACCTAAAAGTGACAAAGGAACAGTATGTTCTCTACTTTCAGTATCCTCTGATACACAATCCCAGTTTCTTGCATGCATTTTGTGAAAACTTAGCACATGCTCTCCGAAATTATCAGCATTAATCTTAGCTTTGTGAAATTTCTGCAGATGACTCATTAAGGGTTTCTTTGCACCAAAAAGTTTCTGACAAATCATACATACATATGGTTTTGAACCATCTTTATTCTGTACTTCTTCAAAGCTTGAACCATCTTCATCAAGAAACTGGACATAGTCTTTTGTCTTCCCCCACTCAATATCATGTGTCAAGTTAACATGTCTGGAGGCCTCAAAACGATGAAAAAATCTTTGTCCACATTTACAGCACTTCCATTTTCTGGTATAGTTCTTATTCCTCTCAATGAAAAACTCATGATCCTGATCAGTGATGAAATGATCATCTGTCAGATGCCGCTGAACATCTGACTTGTTTTGAAACTGCTTGTTGCATTTTATACATTTCCAGGGTTGTTCCTTTTTATTTTCCTCTTCCCCTCTATTTACTTTTTCCTCTGAATTATTCATTTCATCTCCAGACATTTCTGAAACATGTATAACCATAAGCTTTCCCTCATCATAAGTTACATTATGCGCATTCCTGCAATGCCTAGCTCCATCTGAATGACGAAAATAGCTTTTGTGACACAATTTGCAGAACCATTCCTTTTGAGGTTTCCCCTTGGTGCTTTCAACCTCTACCTGAACCTCAGGTTCTTCATCAACATCCTTTTTCCATTTTATTCCCTCTCCAAGTGGACTCTGAATTAAAATATTTTTTCCTTCCTCCCCTGACTCTGTTAAAGTTAAATTATGATAGTTCCTCATATGTTCTACCAGCTTGTTTTTTCTCAGGAAGACCTTTTTGCACCTTTGACATCCCCATTTGAATTTCTCTCCAATTGCTTCAGTTACAGTGTCGTCTGCCTCAGGGGACAGGTCCTCTTCATTGGATTCTATGATGATGATGTCATTCTTATCCATTCCTGTTTCCTGTTTGTCATTCTTATCTATTCCTATATCCTGTTTATCTTGTGAGCCAGTGTACATGATGAAGTCTTCTCTGTTATGATCAATTCCATGGTGAAGCTGTATATGGCGAGCAGCATCTCCTTTGTACACATACTTGTTGCGACACTTTGTGCACTGCCAATTCTTAACATTTTTGGGTGCTGAGGGTTCCTTCTCCAACTCAGGCATACTGTCAACAGTATCAAGTTTCTTCAAATATATATAACGCTTTTCTCCTGACAAATAATGCCTAATACGAAGATGTCTAAGAGCATCTCTTTTGTGACAAAATTGACCTCCACATTTTTGACAACCCCATTGCTTAACTCTTGTTCTGAGAGAGCTGAAACCCCACACTTGATAGTCTTTATCTGTATTTGTGCATTGGAATATATTTGGTGGTCCTAATTCATCACTTTCATCACCTTCACCTTCATCATCATCATCAGACTTTGGAATCTCCATATAAGCTCTGGATTTGCTGACCCTCATTTCATGGACTTGAGACATATGCTCCTCAATTAATTTCTGATCTTGAAATGAAACTTGACAAATTTTGCATGTCCATGCTTTCACTTTCTCTGATTCTGCTGTAAGATTATTCCTGACTTCAGAAATCATAGGTGTCTGGTCTAAATTTGGAGCTTCATGACTCTCTATATCATCTTGGGGGACTACATTGTTTATTACAATAAATTTGGGGACATTTTTCATTCCTACATGGTGGTAAGTCTTTAGGTGTCTTACTACAGAGGACTTGAGTCTGTACAGTCTGTCACACTTCTTACACTTGTACATTAAACCCTCTTTCTCCTTTTCTAATGCTTTTGTAACTTCCTCAAAAGTTGCCTCTGCTATGTATTCCAAGGACTCAGCCATGCTGATATTGTGTTCTTTCTTCAAATGGTATTTGACATTGCTTTTGTACATGTAAATTTTTCCACATTCTAAACACTTCCAGTGCTTTTGTTCATCATTTTCAATCCTCTCTTTGTAATCTCTGTCCTCCGTTTTCATTACTTTTGCCCTTAAGACTTCCGTGTCGTCTGAAGTGAATTTTCTTTTGGCCACATTTTGAGCCTCCTCTCCCTTGAGGCTGTGGGTTTTCTGGATGTGATACAGCAGCAGTTTCTTAGTTTTATAATTAGCATTACAGACACAGCAGTTCCACATTAAGTCTTGATTTCCTTCTGAATGTTCACAAGATTCATCAAGGGAACTTGCAACACTTGTTGTCAGTTGTACCTCTTCTTCTCCATCTTGTTGATCATCATCTTCTTGTATCTGGTTGGCGGCTATATCTACAAAATAATTTATATTTTATATGTTACAAACAATTTGATAATTTCATCGTGACCAAGTAGCACAGCAGTGTAAGATGTATGTCTACACTTGTCAGACCTCTAAATCAAAATAAATTTAACTGTTAAGAGATCAGCTGCTTATAAAGGGGTTGTTTGGGAAAAGCATTGATGAACCGGGGAATATGGCGGACTATGCCTTTTTCCGAGTAGTATTCAGCTTTAAGAACATATTTACATTTTCCTTGTATTTCCTTGTTAAATTTTAATTAATTTATTATTGTGGCTACATCCTTCCCTTGAGAATCATGATCTGAACAAGAGGTGTTTGTAAAACATTTATGCCCCCCTCCTCCATATCCTACCCAAAACAGAACATGACCTAGATATTCTGATAATAAATCTTTATACCAAATTTCATTTCAATGTATGTGCAATCTCTGCAAAGAAAATGAACAGAAACTGCAAATAATTGGAATTTTTTTTAAGTCAAAGGAGCATAACTCTGTCCAATATGGAACGATCGTACCCAAAACAGATCTGACCTAGACATTCTTATGATGTACCCGATTACAAAATTTCATTTCAATATGTGCAACCTCTGATAAGAAAATGAATGGAAACTGATGCTGGACTGACAGACCGACCCACAGACAGCAGCAAAGCAATATGCCCTCCCTTCTTTGAAGGGGGACATAACAAACCTGACACACACTACCTATGTTTGCTGAATTACATATGACCAATCATAGATTTGCTATTCTTCATCAGAAGATTTTGAAAGATTTGTCTTAAATATACCTAAATAAATCTTTGCCTTTTACAATAATGCAAACAAAATATGTTAGCAGCAAGTCACCTATTAAGTGATGTATTACTTTCTGTTTTTCCTCAACATAAAAAGAAATGTTGGTAAAGGTATATGCATTGTCTGAGGTTTTTATACTGACTTAACTGAGGTGTGAGTACCTGTACAATACTGGAAGAAGGAGTGGCTAATGGAGTCGTTACTGTTGATGAAGTTCAAGCCTTTATCGGAGCCCTTCCATAGGAGTGAACCTTCCTTGCTATTAAAGCTCACAAAGAACCAGTCAAGCTCAGGATCCTAAAAAATATCATGACCAATTTTCAATAAATTCTTTTATTTTGACTTTACAAAGAACAATATCTTCTTAAGTGTTATACATTTGAATCAAGAATTCGTTTTCAAAATTCTCATGCAAACTATTTAGAATCATAATATTAAAATACACTTAAGCTGAACACTTTTTTTTTGTTACAATATTTAACTTGTAATTCTAGAGTTAGATAACTCTGGTTGAAATCTATGCAACAACCATATTCCTTGCTGATGTTTCTCCACTTTACCTCTGCAGCAGATGACACAACATTCTGTGACAGGAGATTTGAGGACACATCCTGGGTCTTCGCTAAGGCTGCCAAATTGTTTATTGCATTTACTGATTCCTCCTGAGTCTTGTGAACTTGGAGAATTGAGGATGTGCACCTAAATTTGAAAGAAAATCTCACATTTATAAACTCTTCAAAACTAATATACAAAATATCATACTGATAATATTAAAATAATATATACATTACAATAGTAATTTTCTATTTTAAACTTTTCATCATATCATTTCTATCATATGACTCTTCCACACAATTTATTTATGACATCATTTTACCAAAAAAAAAGACAAGGGCACTGTGAAGCAGTGCATCCCCTTGCTGAGTTGCAAATAGCATACAGATCTATAAATCAATGCAGCAATTGACATTGCATGATCCTGATGCAAAATATGTCACTTCTGTTCTGCACAAGGACAAGGACAAATCAACACACTCACTCATTACTATATCCCCTCCAATTCTGTTGTGAGTGGATAATAAATGGACTCCTGACAATAATGCATTCATTGGCAATTAAACAATTGAAAATTGACTACTATACATGTACATAATTTGGCGTATTCAAAATTTAGCGTAATCAATGGGTATGGAGTTGTTGGCGTAATCATAAATTAGAGCTACACACGTCCATTCAGTGTATTGTATATGTCAATGATTTTTTAGTGGTATTCATGAATTAGCGCATTGTTGTCTAAGCCAAAGCAGCTAAAGTATGAAGCCCGCTTTTTAAAGTACACATACAGTATGTTTAACTTAATTGAAATTTATTGACAAACATAAAAAATTTTACCTGTCACAGAAGCTTTCCTTCTCAGCATTGTGGTAGGTTTTCTCTTTTGAAAACACTGACAACAATATATCCGTCCATTCTGTTGAATCTATCAAGGGTGGAGAGGGGGACTGGCTGTTAGAAAGAAGTCTGCCACAGTGAAGACAGGAGTCTCTTCCAATGGACAAGGCCATACTACTTCAACATCTGCACTGTATTCATCATTACAATGAACCAAATAATCTACTGCAAACAAAAAAAAGGTCACAAACTTATGAAGTCAAGTATATTTCTCCATATATACAAATAAATGTAAATTTGGCAAGTGAAAGGTCAAGTCCCCAAAATGCATGTCAATTTCCCTAGCTGTCGATGCATCTGATATCAGTGGACAAGGACTATGGTAAATGACATGGAATATGTTTTTATTTCAATCTATTAGACATCATTTTGATTTATTATTTACATTTCTATTTTACATTTTAATGTAAATATATACATCTTCACTTGACACTTGGAAAGAAGTTTGTGAGAAGAGAAGTGGATCAGAAACTCTTTGCTAACAAAGGTCATGATAAATATCAGGAATCACCTCAAGTTTGTTGGGTAGGAAGCCCACCATAGATAGATATTTCTGCATTTTAAACTGCAATTAATTTAAGTCCCTAGCTGGCATACCCAACAAACTAGATGGGGGATTCGTTTAAAAAGTTTCAAAACTTGACTATTTTATATACTGAAAGGAAAAAGAAACGCAGGGTACACTTTCGAGGTGAATTAAATTTATTTTTCAAATAATTTTTTTAATTATTCCTATCTAACTTTTAAAATCTTCTTTTAAAAAGATATAACCAAAATCCCACTTGATTTTGTCTAATAATTCATGAGTTATTGAAGCTCATTTGACGATACCCCCCAAAAATGAAAATCAAAATCTCTCATTATCTTCAATGTCTCTCCTGCGCATCTGTCAGGACCTTATTTCTCCTTTGCATGGAATTCATCAGGGTGTTTATCTTTCAAACCCTGGCTATATTGGGCATGGGTAACCACGCGAAAAAAATTAGTCAAATGATAGTGAGAGGAACAAAACAGTATTGTTTTCTTTCGTTTTTCGTGTGAATGTATTGATTATGATAGTCTAGTGTATAAATGGCGGTTTTTGTGGTAATTAACCCGCTCGTTGAGTTTGTTTCGCGTTAACGTGATCGTCACGGTTGATTGAAAACCATCCCAGGCCCTCTCTGACAACGGGTAACAAGTTTTATGGGGGAAAATTTACAAGAAACTGCTTACTTAACCATTGTTTCCCTATTCATTAATTAGGCAATTCGAAAACAAGACCCCATTGAACTTCCATAGACTGTACCAAGATTGCAAGAAATTCATATCGTCTCTAAATATTGAAAAACAATATGTATATCTCAGGTGTATCAAATGGTCCAACAAGATTTGTTGACAAATTCATTGTCATCAAATTGCACGCGTTTTGGGCTTTTTAGCATTTTCCCTATATGACGTCATACATTTTACGGTTGAGTAATTCTGAACACTGATTTTGGTGCAAAGTAACTAAATTTCTCATCTGACCAATATTCGTAATGTTCGGTCATCCGGTTAAAAATTTATCGAATATTATGTTACCCTGCGTTTCTTTTTCCTTTCAGTATATGTTATTCTGTTAAAATGATCTATATATTCATAAACTAACATTCATTATTAGTGATCAGATATATCTTAATCTAGACAATTCTTTTGTTTGTGTACCAACGGACCAAAGTATAAAAGTGACAAAAGTAAGTCTTTGTAATAAGCTAGCTACAGAACTGAATAGCTCTCCGTAAAAAAATATGTTGACAGCTACCCACTGAAAAAAAGTGTATATTTATTGCACACAAAAAAGTGCTATTTTTCGAATTATTTCTTCGAGTTTTTCCAATTACCATCTCCAAATATAACTATAACCGTGTGTTTCTAAAATATTCTTGTACTATTTCCATACAAAAAATTCCTTAAAATTGTTGTAAATAGCCTATATTCTGGACCTGACATGGAAACCATCGAAAATTCTGTCTATGTACACTGCCATTTTGGACAGTAAGAAAATTTGGTTCAACACGGCTGTGCAGATATAAAATATGAGAGTACAGTTGATAGGGATAAAAGAATATTTTGAAATCGAGCTTTTGTACAGTTAAGGTTAGAATTTGGAGACTTAAATTATGAGTGCATCTTTTTGTACGTAATAAGTAGTCTTTTTTTCTATGGGTGGCACTGTAGCTCTCTGGCCATCCATCCCAATTTTTCAGACCAGCGAGCTCCAAATCTGCAGAAGGTAACAAGCGTCGATAGTACTGTAAGTACATTTTACCATGTCCATGGGGTCAAATTCCACTGTGTCTTCACTCTTGGGTTGCAAAATAGCGCAATGATAGAATATACAGGTACTTGAAAAAACTGAATCGTCCACCTTCGCTGCTTCTCTGATTATATGTTTATATCACTTTTCAAATACTCACTCTAGCTTTTTACTTTATTCCACAATTTTATGAAATTGCGATCGCATCCTTCATACGCAGTGCGTCTGCGCATTCGTAAGTTGCGCATGACTCTCCAATCGTGAAGGAAGATAATGTCGTCTGAAGATGGAAAGGGAAGAGGGAAATATAGAAAATAGAAATATTGACATTGTTACAAAATGTATGTTGATATTCAGTCGTTTTTGGGACTTTATATTTGTAAGCACTGTTGAAAATGTTGTTGTACTGAGTATATTGTATGCATTTTATGCTATAGGCCAGTCTGGCTTGACAGGTGGTAAAACTAGTACTCCAATCACCGGATCCCGGGGAACTGATTTTTTCCCCTGCATCTTAAATCCCATTTCGCTGAAAATAATTACTTATACTTTAAGTCTTCTTAGTGACATCATTTACCATATTTACCAAACACATACAGATAATATACTGATAATTTCACTTATCTCAGCAAGATGTCGTAGGAACCAAACATTTTGGTCTGGTGTCCACTACTAGTGTTAACATTGTTTTGTGTTGTGTCGTTCATGGAAAAACAGCTCATTGAATCTATTTCTGCTTTAATCAGTTATAATTAATAAACCAGTGTTATGTTAATCAGTAATCACAGTATAATATGAAATTTCTGGTATAGTATTATATGTTTGACAGTGTGATAATTGGGATAGCCAAAGTTGAGTATATATCAGTATTTATTACTAGTTACTTAGATCCGACCCATTCAGTCCACATGATACATTTGTAAAGTTATAGATCTAATACATGAGGTCTGTAGACTTACGACACATCAATGGTATGTTTGTTGCATATCAGCAAATCCATTATCAGGTAAATTTTATCAGTGTGAGCAATTTTTATTGAAGTGAGTGAGTGAGTCTTTTAATCCTTTTTTTTTTCTTCAAGAAATTAATTTGGGCAACAACAAACAGGTTGTGGATGATGTTGAACTTTGGTGAAAATTTTGGTTTTATGTTCATTGTATAGACTATCCATTTTGTTTTCACCAAGGCATTGGATTGATGTAAGAACTTGCAGTATGAGCAGCACTTTGTACCTCTCTTCTTGCTTTAAATATAATTGTTTTGTATATTTATTTATTTTAACATTGCAAATATGCCTAGATCAGGAGAAAGAAGCAATTTTATTCAGTGGTATTACTAATATTGACATTGAAAACTTTAGTATGGGGCAGTGGGGCAGGGGGGGGGGGGAGCTAGGAGTTCTTTAATTAGTTTTGTGTATTGTGTATTACATTGTTGACATAGTTATATGAATTTATATGTGAATTTATTTTATTATAGCATGGGCTAGAGTGCCTGAGAAGTATGACTATGAAGCTTTTCTGCTCAGAAGTATGAAGAATATTGACAAAAATCCTTAATCCAGGTCTGCTGGAAATTTGGGAGTACATACTAGATTTCCTTGTCAAAGCAGTGTAGGTAATGTATATAACTAAATGTTTATAATAATGTAGACTAGTGCATATATATGTATACAAAAAGCAAAGGAGAGAAACAGCAGCCCAAATTTACATGGGATCCATCAGAAAAATACATGCATTTTGACTAATATGAGTGATTTTCTGAGAAGCAATATATTATTCTTGCAATCATCCAAACATCCTTTCGGTATCCACACGTGAGAATCTTCCGCAATTTTAACCTCAGGATGTTGGTCTCCAGCTTTTCTTTGTTTTGTAATCATCCAAACAGATGTATAATATTCCTGATACCTGATAATCACCCCAAACTGAAAAGAAGCACGCACAATTACTCATTAGGTCCTTTGAATTAAATCAGCATCAGAGCTTCAATAAACTATTCAAAGTAGATTGATTGAGTGATTGTGAATTATGTGAAATAATTTTTTTTCATAATTAAGCTTTTTATATAAAAAGGACATAAGTTCCCAATGTGTCATTACTCATACTGTATAACAGGTTATTTTTAATTCTGTAATTTTTTACGAATTTTGGTTAAAATAGGGTGAATTAAATTTTTATGTGTTAAATTTTTACAAACTGAGCATGTTCCTGAATATTAAAATCATATCCTGTAGGTTTGATTCCAGATCAATGATTGTTAGCACTTTGGATGTATTTTCATACAAATAAATATGTCTGACAACCCGATTGATGTAAAAAAAAAAAAAAGGAAAAGAAATTTTTCCTATGATAATATTTAATGATTTATTAAATTATAATATGATTGGTCATTTACCTTAATATACCATATGCCCTTCATTCATTTCTTTTTTTAAATACACATTTCTAAGTATCATTATTGGGGTATATACAATGATGTTTTTACCAGCTTGTTTAAATAAATGTTGGAGTTACTCTTCTTTGAATAGATATATATTTTTTGTCAATTATCACATGTATGTATCATGAAGGTGTTCTTTAAATGAAATGTTACAGGGGCACATAAGTAAATTAATATATTGTGAGGTCTGGAATGTTAAATTCATAAGCATGCAAGCTCAACTGCATATTCTGGCATATTTTTTATGCTTAATATATATTGATTAAAATCTTGAGGAAAAATAAATTCAGTTAACTTTTAAAATGATTTAAAGCAATATTTAAAAAAAATATTATACCTTGTAATACATGTGTATACATTTGAATTGTTTGTAAGAACAAGAAAATGATAATTTTTATTATCTAGCTATGATGTCTGATTTGGAGCTTAAAATCAAAATTTATACTTTACAAGCACTTATTAATTTTTAAAATCATGTGGAAATGATAATTATTTTTTTTATATGATTGCATGGTTTTAGTCTTACTGGTCAGTGCTTATTTGATAGTAAGGTTATCATTAATTGATGGTCTGTTTGTCTGTTAACATTTTTTTTTTCAGCTGCTACTTCTAAAGTTTTTGATTTCCACATCACTTTATACACAAGTAAAATAGTTCAATACACTTTGATACAAAACTCTGTCTGTTGATTTTCAGTGAACAGTGTTGTCATGGTTTCAAGAAGTAGATCCTATCAAAATGGGTTTCATTTGATAGTTTTGGTGTGATTTCAGTAAGACATACTTACATAGCAGAGTAACATTTAGGGTTCATTTTGCTTGGCTTCTGTCTGTCTGTTTGTCTCTGACTGGCTGCATGTCTGCCCATGTGTCTATCACACCTTACATCTTGAGGAAATAAATAAATTCATACATTTTGTCTTTATAACATGTTTGTTTCAAAACCTGACGAAGCTTTGAGATTTTCAATTAAATTTCACAGCACAACTCTTTATGGTTGATTTTGAGGTCAAAGGAACAATAAAGGCCAAGGTCTTAAAGTTTAAACCTTGCAAATATTATTTTATACAGATTTAACTTTTTCTTTGAGTTTCTTTCAGTTAGGTTGAATAAGATCATATATTTGTCAAGGTCATAAATTTATACGTTGTACATGCAAATAACATTTTTATATCCATGCAGGCATTATCTTAATTAAGAAACATTCGAGAATTTGCAATGACATTTTATATCACAATTCCTTATGATCAGTTAATAAGATCCTTTTTGATTTTTAGTCCAAAAAGATAAGTTCAAGTTCAGAAATTTTCCACATAATAGCTTAAGTTTTTTTGTTTTCAATTAAATTAAAAGTGACATCTTATTTAATGAAAGTAAAATATTAATTTATGATTCTTATGTTTTATGAAAATATTATATTCTAATCATTTCAGAATTTATGTCAGGCAAAAAAGAAAGAATAATTTAATGGTACCGGGTACTTGGAAGTATAGTGTTCTTGCTTCACAGCACAGATTGATAGGCCACAGTAGAAGTTAAATGATGCAAATCAATTATAGTTTGTAAACAAACTATAATTGGCCAGGTAGGAGAAAATATAGCTTCAGAGTAATGAGTTTATGGCAACTGTAACTGACATCTCTATGCTTTGAGTGACCATAATAGGTCAATATTTCATTAAAACCTCAATTCTACTCCCTTGAACTTTGTAGGAACAATAAACATGTACAATTACTGTCATGAATTTTCTCTTCCAGAACACAGAAGTCACTAAATGTAGGTTGGGAGGCCCCTGTGCCTAGATCAGACCAGGGACTAGCATGCACACTGTTATTTAGTATGAACGTTAATACCTGCTATTGCCTAACAACAGTTGTAGTCAAATTTTATGAGCAGTTCATGGCACTGTATGAAGTGCATTTAAATATCACAACAATGAAATCAAATATATTGAAGGGAAATTGAATGCAAATGTTCATTGGAGACATATAGCCATGAGGGGGTCTGCAAAGTTCTGGTCTTGTGTGCTCAGCTTGTTTAAAGCCACTTTTATTATTTATTTTATCACATGCAGATTTGTTGGCAATTGAATTCTAATAGAAAAGATAATATAGCAAAAAGTTTTATTTTGCTTCCTACATTGGTAGTATATTAAAAGTGATAATGTATATAATGCCCTTAAATTGATTTGCTTTGTTGAAATGATTGTTGTCTAATCATTTGTGAGTTTAAGAGTCCTTTATTCTTCATAGATTAGGTACGGGGATGAGTATTAAGCCACCCCTCCAATGATGGTTGAGTGGGTGCAAGTTAACACATTTAAGGATTTTCCTAGTGCTGTGACCTTATTCACCTGTCAGGTCCCCCCACCTAGATTTGGCTGGTGAGCATTGGGGTGTGGTCCACGGTATGTTATGTAGAATAGGGATCAGGCATTGAGTCCTAAATAACAGACTCAGGCAGGGTTAGAATTTTATGAGGGAGTATTATAGTATTTTACTAAGGAAGAGAAATATTACCTTTAGAACACTTGGGGGGAGATACCAGGGGTGTATGGGTCTTTCCTGAAGTAACTTAATGCCAGCTTGAATGTCTTTGATGTTATTAAAGTGTTAAATGCTCAACTTAACCTTTAATCAGTTTATTGCTTGCATCTGCCTACAAATTAAGTAAAGGAGTTTTCAATGATACAGTGCAAATGAGGATAATTATTCTCTTTGGAGGATCTATACTAATTTCTAAGTTTTGAAATTTAAATTTATGATTACGATCAACTAGATTAATATTGCACGATGAAATTAGAATTGTTTGCTTGCAATTTCCCTTTTCATAATTTAATGAATGAATTTAACATACATGTTTATAAAGTCTTTTTATTTTTTGTCAGTTCCAGTATAATTTATAGTTCAAATTAATGCATAATACTGTAGTGAATGTATGAAATATGTACATGAAAATGAAATGAAACATATGGACTGTTAATTCGTACATGTCTACTGTGTACGTGACAAGATTTAAGACAAAAGCGTGAGGATGAATAAGTCCAGCAATGAAGAGTCTGGCGCTTTACACGGCCAAGTGCTCTTGTTCAAGGTCTTAAGTATGTTTAGTGCAGTGGCATTTATATAAATATTAGGAATATTGTGAGGAAAGTCATTATGTTGATGTGTAACACAATACCACTACCATTTCACACACTGACAGTTTAAGAATATCTCAGTGAAGTGCATATTTCTTGTACCATACAGTCCCAGTATGATTAGTCTGCAAGATCAAGTTAAAAATAATTTGCCATTAATTAGCAAGATCAAATTAGATCACCACATTTCACATCAAGACTCAATTTGTTTCATAAAATCTGCATGCTTTGATTTAAAATAATGCAAAATAATTTATTAAGGACCTATGATTTGTTAATTAAGTACTATATATTTAAATGATTTTTTTTTGGTAATGAAATGGAATTTAGGTTTTAGTAATTTTTTTTTTGTTTATAGTTCACAATATTAAGATTAATCATTATATGTTAAAAAAGATAAACTACAAAATAAAACTTAAATGTCATAAATTTTGCAAAAAATTTAACAGAAACGCCCACTGTTATGCATTCCTTTATAAAAACTACATATGGTAGACATGCTGAATGAATGTAGATGCGTAGATTATCAGCAGTCTCTAAGTGGCTGACTCCTTTGTTGTACTTGACTGTGTTCTGAATAATTAAGACACAATTATAAGCATTTCCTATATCTTAATAACAACCATTTGCAAGGTACTTCAAAAAGCAGTTGGTAATTAGAATTTTCAATTTCAAAAATGTGAAGTACATTCAACACTTCTCTCAAAAGCAATTAAATGAAACATTATAAATTCATGTTCATTATAATATTTGATTAGACTTTTTCAACAAAGCTGACCTCACAAAAGCCATAATAAGAGGACGGATGAAAGATTTTCATTTCCGCATGGCAAAACTGGTCTATTTTAGGCTGGACATTTACATATTTTGTATATTTGATTAGGTGTTGACTTTCAAGGTACTACTTAAATGAACATAAATTATTTAAAACTGAACAGGGGTCAACATTTTCCTGAGCTTGTTTCACAGCCCAGATTTGTGCATTCATTATGAACTAAATGTCTTGGGGACAATTTATGTACAGAGTGTACTATCAT